CCCCCCCTCTAGATTTAGGGATACAAGGAAGGATAAAGTAAAGTAACAGAAATGTGTTTTTCTGAAGAATCTGTCGATTGTCCTACTCACGTCACCCACTTGGCCCAGACTCGACGTGCGTGTCGACCAGGGATAGGCGGGGTTTACTTACCCACATCCTGCCACACTTGAGGAAGCTTATGTGGGCCGCTCGAAAACACCCAGGAATAGACATTATAATACAGTTCCTCGAACATTCGAATAAACATGATGGCCTTGTACATGTACCATTTAGAAAGATCTCAGAGACCACTATGCACACAGCAAATAAAAAAAAAATGAGTATGTCTGGTCCAAAGCAGGAATACAATTTAATGTTAAATGAGAAATTTTCTTGATTATTTTGGTGGGTGTTCATAGGTATTTGGGAAACGTTTTCACGAAAAACTCAGCGACACCGTTACGAATAAGAAAAGTTGTTTGTGATATTTCTAACGTGGGAAAGCTTTTCACGTGTATTGCACAAGAGGTCCTCAGTGTTCAATTTGCACAAAAGGTATATCGGGTTGTTGTTTTTGGTGTGTTTAAAAAAAAAGTATTTTGATTTAAACAAGAAGCTTTCATTTTTCAGCAAAGAAGGCTGCTAAGAAAGAGATAGTCAAGCGAGTCAGCTACCGATCGCCCTTGGCTTTACATCCTATCGCGTCGATGTAGATATTACTGAAAATCGTTGATAAAAAAAATACACACACAAAAAAAGCTAGGCACTCATAGGACCTTATGCAGTTGCGAGCGCCGTAAAACACTTATATTACTTACAGAAAAAGCAAATTTACAGTTTCCAAGGATACTCAAGGTTTGGAAGTCACCAAATACTGACTGACATTTTTATCGCTAATTTTACCTCTGACACCAGGCAATCCTTAGTAATTTTTTTTTCATGAAAAGACAGACAAATGAACAAACTTTTAGGTGCTACCAAGAACTCCACATGTCCAACATTTGACAAGCGCCTAACTCCAGGGTCTCATTGCACGTTTTATTACCACAGAGAAATGGTAAAGGTTTAAGGCCCCTTTCAACACTGTGAGGTTGTTGAGGAGGCGGGTCCTCCGACTTTAAGTTTTAGGAGGG